TCTAAATGCCTTGAAATTGGCCTCTGTCTCTTTAAGAACCTCCTTCTGCTTCTGTTTTGCCCATTTCAGTGCGGAGGGTCTGCATTCGCGAGGGGTTGGGGGACTGCCATGATGCAGTTTACTTTACTTGGCATCTGAAAATACATTTCCTCAAAGGTATTTTTAATCTGAGAAAAGCTTCACTGAGTGAGAACCAATGTTGAGAGCTCAGCAGACAGTTAGGTTTCACTTTCACTTTCACCGGAGAGCCTGCAGGGGTCATGGGCGGGGTATGGAGGGAGTCGGGGAGGGGGTGCGCTCTGCCATGAGGAAGTTCAGCTTAAAGACACGTCCCAGGGGCGTTTCTGGTCCCCACCTGTCGTTTTGCTCCTCAGCATGGCTTCCTAAAAACGCTGCAGGATTTCTCAAACATGCATGAATGAGTCACAACAAGGCTTTGGGCATGTTTTTTATGAGAGTATAACATTATAACATGATATAAAACTAAAAAAGTTGATTTTACATGATATTGCTCCTTTAATACTAATTACTACTTTGTCGTTTGCTGCAATCAACTACGGTACATGTACATAAAGTTTGCTTTGTTCACAACTTTTAATGTTCCTCTCATTTTTCTGTTTGTATTCTGTGTTTTATCTTTTTTTAGGTTCTCACAGCCAGAGGTCGCCAACAAGAGCAAAACCAAGGATAACGCTGGACCCCTACATACGCCTCAAATCTGATAAGTTAGACTTGGTGAGTGTTCACATCTTCTCAGGACAGTTAATGGTCTACTGCTGAAATACTGATGACCAGAAAACATGTAGCTAAGACTATAGGATTTCATGGGTTGTTCTGATCAGCAGTGAAGAACAGAACAAGAAGTGAACTACAGAGGCTCGCATAAGTATTCATCCCCTATACGATGTTTCTATTTAGTTTTGCTACACATGTTTTCTGAAAGCACGTTTCATGTTCTCAGAACTCTACACACACAAATACAAAAATCACGCACACAATAGGCAAAACAACACATGTAGCCATAAATTTCACACCCACTAAGTGTATGAAAACTGTGTAGTTTATGTGGTAACCTTTAGGAAGCACTGTTCATTTTGACCATGTGAGGAGAATAGTGGAAGACATCTAGGACATCTATTCTTCTCCGAGCTCCTCGCACTGGACCGGACGAGACCAAACCAGTTCGGAGGCAGCGGGAAGCCCACCCTCTACCACACCTGAGGCGAGATAGAAGAGCCCGGTCTGCTTTGATTTAGGTTAGAACCTCTTCCAGGGACCAGATAAACGAAAATGTTTGCGGCTCTGGTAAAAAATGCTTCCATCCAGCAATAACTTATTCAGTGAGATTCACACAGCTCTCCTTTTGTTTTTCACTCTTCCAGTCACCGTTGCAACCTCTGAGCGCTCATTCTCTAAGTTAAAACTCACCGCTTGTATACACGTCAACCCCTTTGATCATTTACCTGTACAACAAGCCTCAAAAGCCATAATTTTAGCAAAAACAAATCTGTATTAATCACATGCGTGGGGGGTGTACAGGCGGACTGTCAGCCACGGATATTTCAACACCTGTGGCAGGGCAGAGCAGGAAGAAATGAGGGGTGAACTTATAGTGGAAGAGCGGGCTGGAAGATGGTTGTTTGATATTTACTGTTTTTTAACATCCTACAGGCTCTGAAATGTTAAATAGATTTGAAACTACATTTTTTTAATCTATAAAACTTAAAAAAATCTGGCAGATACCTGCAAAATAAGGAAAGAAATTACAGACAATCCGTACAACCTGACATGCTGCACTTGAGGAGCACAGTGGGACAGACTTCAGGTGCTTTTCCATTGATGTTACAGTCTGGTTCCAGTGGGTGTGTTTTGGGTGGAGGTGTTTTTTTTTTTTTTTAATTTAATGCGCAAAATGAGAGATGGAAACACATTTGCCAAATAAGTTCTGAAATTTAAAAAAATTGCTAAAAATTCAAATTAAAATTGGATGGAAACACGACTAATGTCAACTGCTACAATTGGAAAAAATGGTGACTCGAGTTGTTGTAAAGGCAGCTCAGACYCAACCAGTGACTCCACCCCCTAGCCAATCAGTGACTAACAGTGTTCTGATGTCGCATTTTGGTGTCGACTGGGACCGCTTGTAATCACAATGAAGTAGGTACTAAAAAAGGGCCGGTTCCATGAATCTGGCCTAATGGAAATGGCTTGGAACCGTACCGAACTATACAGACACTACACTAACTAGTGGAAAAGGGGCAAACTAAGTGGACTCATGTTGTTCATAGAGAATAAGAGATCAAAGAAGAACAGAGRAGTGCCAGTTTTATTGAACTTTAGCTACTGATAGGGAACAGGCTCTGAGCTGAAATAGATAAAGCTGGTGTCAAAATGACGCAACCACTATCCGTGGTGCAGAACTGTTTTGAATTTGTGTTGTTTTATAGCTGAATGTTTTAATAGTTTTCGGTTTGTTATGTCCATTTGATGGACTTCAAAATGACATAGTCGCTCTGTGGAGCTGAAGCTTGTAAGCCCTGCTGTTGCAGGCACGTGTATGTTGTATAAAATGATGTTATCATGAGCTTTATAATTTGGTATAAAGAGCCCGGTCATTTGACCCGCCCCCGGCCCGGCTCTGATTTGTTCTGCTTGTGTCATCCACCCCACCCTCCTCGATCCATTCAGAAATCAGTACTTCCCAAATGTTCCTGCATTTGAACCTTAAATTAATAGCTGCTGATACCCAACAATTGCTGGTATTGCTAATAAAGAACTAATAAATTGAGTGATGCCAGTCATTATCCCACTTGGTTATTATTTTGGTTTTTGGTCTTTATTGTTTATTTTTAACATTATTTCCTTAAAAACATCAATTTTTCTTCCCCACTTTTCATTTGCAAGCCATTCCATTATCCTAACTTTATTTTTAACCTTTGAAAAATCTGCTTTTTGAAGAAATACATAAAAATGATAACAGACTTAGGATTTATCTTGGTGCTATTAACTCATTTTCACAGTCGTAGCAGTTTCTCAGCTCTTCCACACAGATTTATCTTCATCCAACTACTGATCTCCATCGTCTCTGCTATCCATGTCACGCTTGTGCTTTTCATTTGCATTATTTTTACCCTATCAGCACATTCGCTTTCCACCCTGTCTGTCCCTATCTCCTGCCCTGCAGCCTCTAAAGACARGTTAAACATTAAATATAGGCGCAGTTCTTTATCTGTTGGATGATGTTTTGCAAAACAAACAGAAAGAGATTTTGGGTTGACATACCTATGAGGGCTCTTGTAATGGGTTAAAAAAAATCAAAATATAAATGAATAAAATGATATTTTTACAGCTTGAACTCTTTGAAAAATAGAGACTTATTATTGTTCTCAGTGTCTGTAAAGCAGGTTGAAAACATTCAGAGTTTCCAAAGATCTCATTAGAGCTAAACAACAAGAAATCTGAAGCTCCTGTGTTGAACAACTCCAAAATAGGTTCGTCTCCAAAAGCAATCAAACATGTACTAAGTTGTATCACAACGGTGTATTTATTAAACAAATGAAAATAATAAAACAGTATTAAATGCCATGTAGTGTTTTATTTTTTGTACATCAAGTTTGCTTTTCTGTAACTGAGAATCAAATTTCTTCATGACTCTGGTTAAAGTCAGGGATGTTTTAACCAGATTCTTATAGAGCATGGTCAGTGCAGTGAGATGTGATGTTGAACCTGAGGAAAGTCTGGATTCGCTTCAGTGTTGAGAAGCTCCTCTCAGATTCAGCTGTGGTCAGAGGAGATGTGATGAGAATCTTCAGCAGAGTCAAAGTCTCTGAAGGTGCAGATTGCTCTTCATGAAGAACTGGTACAGAGACACTTCACCACTACAGCTCCTGAACTAGATCAGACTTCTTGGTCCTGTTCAGCACTGGGTGAGCCTCCATGGTCTTCYGAGCTGCTTCAGAAAATTGTCAGTGATCCTGCAGGAACTTGGCTGCCTGCAGCTCTGATCAGATACTTTGTGAATGTCTCAAGATGATGTCACAAACCTAAAACAAAAAATGCACAAATTTAATTCAATGTGAAGATGGCTACAAGAGAGCTTTCTAATATATAATTAATATATAGAGAACAATTAATGTTATTTTAATAGCAACAAATTGTTGCACCTCTATGGTAAACTATTAATTATATTTTTATTTTAAAAATGTATTCATTTTTTAAAACAAAAGAAACTATGCACAACAGAAGAAAAAATGTAAATAAAATGAAAGGCAGCAGAAAGAAGAAAATATCTTCTATCTGCCCCTTTTCAAGAATAAATTCAAACAGTAATTTACAAAAAACAAAACTAAACAGAAACAACATAAAAATATCTTTATATTGTATTAAGTTGTGTTCACCTTATGCTGCTCAAAAATAAAGGGAACACCAACACAATCTAACTACACCARGTTCTGGCTCAATTTTTATTATGTCCGGCTTATTCAGTCCAAACTACTTCACTTTTAGTTTCTCCTCAAATATTCTGCTTAGAAAAAGTTTAGATATTGGGGACTTACAGTGTTGTTTTCTCCTTCATTTCTCGTTTGTTCTCCAAAATCCGCCTCGTATTGCCCTGCCGGCTGCAGCCTTATGATGTCGAGTCGTCGACACAGGTGGACCCACCCACTACCAGTGTGTGTTCGCAGGTCAGCTGCGAACCCAGGCCACCCTATTCTTTTGCAATGAGGACTTACTGCACACGACCAAAATCTTCACGAGTTGTGTATGGGAATCTGGGGCGGCGAAAACAGCGTGACCTGGAAGTGACTCGCACAAAAACGCTCATGAGTAAAATGGAAGTTTACACACCAATAACTATAAATTATTTATTTTGCTTATTAGAAAACATATACACTTTTTTGTCTGACCATTTATAACATATTTTTGGTTATCTTATTTTATTTTTATTTTATTTTGTGTACCAAAAATAGAGGGGGGCGCGAACCTGCGCCCCCTATTGACCAGCCGTCACTGGTCCAGACACCCATGGAGCCCCCACCTCAAATATGGGTTCTATCGTAAGCCATTGGCACAGTGTAGGTCGGACTCATCTATGTTCCTACCAAACTTCATGTTGATCGGTGCAGCCGTTTCCTTGCTACGATTTACCAAAGATCACTGAAATTTTTTTTTAATTAGACAAACAGTATGAAAACAATATGACCCCCGCTTTGTGAGTGGGGGGGGGGGGGGTCATACAAAACTTTGTTAAAACCATTTGTCTAATTTCCTATTAGATAAAATGGGCACAAATTTCATCCATTCTTTTTCAACACATTTCACAAGATTTTCCATTAAAAAATACACATATTTCCTCTGTCTGTATCTTTTTTCTTTGAGTTTTTAAAAAGTGTAAACYAGACTGAAGGACACTCTGTGTAGATTTAATATGCTGTGTGTGTGGAAACTCTCCAGATAACAGCTTATCTAAAGGATTTCCAGAGAATCAGTCGGACAGGACAGTTTCTGGAAAGATGAGTGGAAGTCAGGGAACAGATGGTTGTTTCATTCTACGGACGTCTTTTCACAGGAATGTGGACGATTTTGTTAGTCATCCAAGTTATTGTCAACCCTGGGTCCAGTCCAGGAAACAGAGTTGTAGTCTTACACACCTTTCTATTTCTGCCCCTCTGTTAAACCCCCATTCAATTATTATTTGCTTAGACCCTATTTTTGTKCTGCTGTCAGCACCAGTGTAACCTGAAGGAGCTGCAGCGGTTTGGTCAAGAAGAATGAACAAAAGTTTGACGTTAGATGGACCCAGATCATGGAGACKGACCTGAAGCGACTCAATGCAGGAACAGATTTTTTAAAAGCAACAACATAGAAAGATTACAAAGGGATGAACACTTTTGAGCTAAGTTTTACAGATTTATGAGATAAAAAAATATATATATCTCCATGCATGTGTGTCTTTGTCTCTGATTATTTTGGTACATCTGTCTCAGGCCCTGTCCTTCCTTGGCTTGGACGTCAGCGAAGAAAAAAGGAAGAAGCTGAGGCAGAGTCTCGCCCCAGATCCACAAGGCACTGTGGCYTATGGAGGTGTGGCACGTGCACTGACAAACACACACCTACACACATACAGCAAGTCACACATGCTTCCTGTTTCATCAGCAGCAATAGGAAATATCTYTGTTGAGATGCTGTCAAATCCCAGGTTCTGTGTGATGGCTGCATGCTGCTTACTGGTTGTGACACTTGTGTACAGCAGCATGAGGTGCCTCTGTCCAGGCTGCCAGTGAAAGAGGAGCATCTCTATAGTCCCAAGCTGAATTATCTGTCTATACACGTTCATATATAAATAAAAAGGCTGGCTGACTTTCAACAAGAATCTCATCTGAGGCTTGTATGGAGTTTACGTCTTTGTTGTGTCAGAATATGTCTTTTTCAGTAATCCAGTCTTCCTATGACAGTCCAGTATCATACATTTTACACAAACTTCTGATTTTAAACAAATATTGGTGTGAATGAGCATGGTGTTTCCACAAGATATTTTCTGGAACCAGAACAAAATGCTATATTTTTGMAGTGTGATTAGTGTTGAAATGTCCTGAAGGCATCAAACTAACCTTTGGGGTACAATGCTTACAGTATATCCTGTGAGACAAACACATGTTGAGTATCTGTTTTAAMAACATTAATTCGCCCAACCATTATGGTTCAAAACGCAATATTTTTCTCCCATTGATTAATCTTTTTTGTCCCAACTTTGGTTTAAAAGTTGTGACAGCTTYTGTGTGACTACAACACTAAGATACTCAGATGTAATTGCTAATCTAAATGGGCTTGTTTGTAAATAGGCCATATTTACTCCATCCAAGAGAGGCATAATTTCAGGTTTTGTCCAATTAATCTYATATCCTGAGGAGGCACCAAATTCAGAGGTACTATTGAGGTCTTTGGTTTTGAAATCAGTTAAACTACATCATCAGCATGTGATAAGAATTTGTGGGGAATTCCCTGATGGGTTATTGGTAATATATAAGAATGTAGACATATATAGGTTCTAGAGGTTCTAGAGCCAGGGCAAAAATAACAGAAGAAATATGATCCCCCTGACGAGTGCCTCTATATAATTATAAAGGTTTTGATATATTATTATTTTTCATTATTGATGGTTCTTTGCGCAAAATTCTGTTTCCACAAACTCTAATCACAAACTCAGTAACAGCAGCTTTATGATGACATCATCTCAGAGAGCTTACCCGCTACTTAGCCATCGCAATTATGTGTCACCAGAATTACATGCATCCACATCCCATAACTTCAAGTCCTACAATTTCTGCACAAATCATCTCAGATCCAACTTGTTACAGGRCCACAACTCCTAGTTTCTGCTTCTACATCCTCATCATCAGCCAACAACTTCTCCTTSGTCATCTGACCTATCGCTCATAGTTTATCCTCTTTTCTCAACTTTACCTGCTTACTTATCCCACATTGTGCCAACCCAGKTATCCTTAAACACTTTTTTATCCCAAGATCCCCTTCAATTTACATCTGTTTGTCCCACAATACCCTTCTTCCCATTTCTTTCCTGTTTCACAATCCCTCTCCCACAGTGCTTCCTCATCTCTTCTTCCTTTTCCTTTCCTCTTTCATCCAATACTTACGGAGGCCCCGAAAGGCAAGGAGGGACATTTGTCTGGATGTGTAGCATTGCAGCTAGCATGTCTCCACTTCCATCTCCTTCTCCAAAACCATCTGATGCCAGAGACCACTACGGCCGCCCAATTATAAAATGATTTGCAAATATTTCAACAATAAAGGTTGCTTATCTAAATCATGCAAGTTCCTCCGCATCCTTTAGCTCCTATAATCTCCACTGATGCAGACACACAATCAGAAGAACTATTTCAGATCTAAGGAAAGCTCATCAAAATCTCATTTAAATATAGCCATCTGTGGGTTCTAAGCTTGTCCAGTGTATTTGGAAAAGTTACCCTGAGCACTCCTTCACCGCCCAATAAATAAACAATTCAGAGTTCATTTGTTTGTTTGTGCTTTTCCGTTTGTTCTCAGATTTTGAGGAAGCTTCCCGAAACACATTTCAGCAGGAARTGGAGAGTCTGGGTTTGGGCGCGGACCCCTTTACTTTCTCCTATCATGAAGCAGCCAGTCTTATGGACACATCAGCCTTTCACTCACCTGTAAGCTTCTCTTACATCCAGTATTTGGCTGCTAAACTACACACAAAAAAARATACAAAATYCAAAAAATACATAGAAACAAACGGAAGGATAAAAATGACTAGAATGCACAAAATGACTCTTAATTTAAGCAAATGTGCAAACAACAAAGCGTCCGTTGATCTGTGTGCCTATGGGWATGTCTGCAGACATATGACTCAGAATGCAGCTACAGCAGTGAGGAGATGGAGCAGTTTCAAACAGAGGTGAAACAGCTGCAGACCCAGATGAAGCAGCTCAAGGTAAGCACACAGCTTCTGTGATAAGACAGTAAAAACATTATGGTTATTTACCCTCTTAAGCCTTTTCTCATATAATAGTATCAGTTGAAACCAGGGCTTTACATACACTGTATTTACATTAGTTTTAGATACTGAATCAGATTCAGCTTTTTCCTCTTTTTGGTCAGTTATTTCCAAAGTTATTTCTGTTTCTTGATTAAGAGGTAAGTTTTTGTCATTATGTTACWAGAAAATAACACAATTTCTGTGCACTCTGTGACAAAAAGAAAGTAGTAGTAAAAAGTATAAAAAGTAAAAGTAAAAAAAATATTTTTTTAATTAAATGCCCATTTATACTTGTTCCCAATATTGTACTTAGTAGTTATTGCACATTAATAATTAAGAGATTATAATAATTAATTAAATTAAGTAATAATTAAGTGTAAAGCAACAAATAGCGGTGAAGACATGTAGCAGGAGTAGTTAACCCATTCAGTGTGTATGCTGGTGGTCCAGTGTGTCTGTAGGGGGCAGAGGGAAAGTGGATGGACGGATGGATTTCACAGCTACTGGGAAAAAAACCATCCCTCAGCCGGGTGGTGGTAGTCTTTATGTTCCTGACAATTTMTGGTCATACACAAAGATTACTAAACATTTAAATAATTTGGTAAAAAGCCCAGAGGATAATATGATGCTTTGTGGAACTACCAGGGACTGATGGGGCTGATAGTGATTGAGCTCATAGAATTACTGTCTTGCTTGGCCCTGAAGTTATGCAGCACGCTCTTGTTAGGCGGTGCCACAATCCCTCAAACTCCTTCTCTGACTCCTCCACTCTAGTCAGCGTACAGCTGTGGAGTGGACCTGCAAACATGTAAACAGGGCCGGTGTTGTGCCATAAAGTGATGCTCTGCCAAAAAGTGATCAGCCGCTGCATCAGAGTGCACATCCTGTTTATGTGTTTTTCARGGGAAAAATCAKTGGGCCTCATGCAGGAACATGTTCGTATTCTTATCCTAAATTTCTCTTACTTTTGTTCGTACYAAGGGTTRGTACGAACATGTCACGTCAGATTCAACAAACTCTTCTATCTTCAGGAAAAGTGTGTAAATGAGCTGCGTAAATTCCACCTGTTCGTTTCCAGCTGCTCGTGCACGAGAGAGGAGATTAGCATAATTACCACCCCAAAAACACCATATAAGGCTATGTTTCCTGCCTCAGATACAAGGAAGTGTCCATTCATAAAAATGACAGCGAAAACTTAAAAGAAGAACTTTAAGAGTTCAGAGATTGAAGTCCGTCTGTCAGAGATCCAGAAAAGAAAATCTGTCATTTTTAGCAGGTCAGCTGTGGAATAAAAAGAGCTGCAAAAAGTATAAACAACTGTGTTAAATCATTTTCATTTATTCAGAAGCCACACCGTTGTGCACCGTACCCCCCACCACCACCACCCCCGCGCCGCGCGGTCGCAGGTGGTCTCAGATGTTGGTCTGAAATAAGCATTTTAAAATATTTTCAAAATATGTCTGACACTTTGGAGAAAATCCAGGACTCGCTGGAGGGATTATGTATCCCCTCTGGCCTGGGAACGTCTTGAGGTCCCCCAGGACATGGAGGGTGTCACTGGGGAGAGCGGGGTCTCTCTGCTGCTGCCTCCGTGACCTGATCCCAGATAAGCGGCAGAAAACAGACGGACAATTTATATTGTTAGTCTAAATTATTACATTTAAAATTATAACTCTAATTCAAGCAGAATAGCCTATTGTCAACATAATTATGGATTGTGATTTATTTTCAATTCAAAATATCTTCAAACTAACAAAATATAAAGTTATTAGTGAAGAAAACCAGTCTGGATAACAGCAGACTGACTGCTCGTAAAATATACGACAGGTCTGGACCACACGTGAATTTTGTTCGTATCTGAAAAAAATCTTAGAATACGAAAACATTGGTGAATGCCACAAGTTCTCCTAAATCACTCGTACGCACAATTTAAGAACAAATCTGTGCGTATGAACCGTTCTTGCAAGAGGCCCAATCTTTGATTATGGGAAATAAATTTGTATCAATCATACTATCTATGTTACATAATTTAAACTCTAAGTCTTCATAAGTATCTATATTTTAAAAGTATYTATCTACTAAACACAGTAGTCAGTGCTTTAAATCACATTAATTRACTGATGACACACATCAGAGGTAGTCCGTGGGCTAGGGTGGGTCACCATCCCCCACCTCCCAAATTACTGAACTTCTGTGGTATTTTCACATACCCTAGGGTCCACTCAGACAAAACAGTTGGGTATCACTGCCCCACAGCGACCCCATTTTGAAGTTTTCTCACACACAGAAGAYTGAATCATCTACATCCTATTTGTCTCCAAATTTACCAAATGCTTCTGGGTAAGCCTGGTTGTTCTGAAGGGTCTTCATGCCTTTCACTGTCCCTTTGCCCTTAAAGGCACTTGGCAGTGGGGATTCAGTGTCTTGCCCAGGGACACTTTGGCATGTGACTGAAAGTGGTGGAATTYAACCACCAACTCTCTCATTGGAGGATAACTCCCCTAACCTCTCAACCACTCAAGTCACCTCAAGTCAACGTCAATGTGTTGTATTAGTAGATAATATAATAGGTATTAATATTTGAATTAACTGTAATTGAAATTGCAACTGGATTCATCACTTGAATTTATTTATTTATTTATTTATTTATTTATTTATTTATTTATTTATTTGTTTGTTTGTTTGTGTATAGTGCCCTGACATGACTTACAGTATGTTGTAAATTGGTGCTTTATAATTAAATGGTCTTATGAAACAACAAACCTATGGCTTTTTCTACTGTCTCTCTTTGCAGGTGATGCTTAAGGACATGGAGCACAGCAAGAAAACCCTTGAAGAGGAGCTGCAGAAGACATCAGAGGTGAGAGTCCAGGCATTTTTCCATTAGATCAAACAGTGTCTCACTTGTCAGTGAGTGTTATTTACAGCAAGCTGCCTGTAATCCATCCCATGATAAAGTAACTTATTGTCGCCCATTATCATGTTTTATCCCAGAAAGCCTGTTTGACTGTGGAGGAGAACACCCGACTAAAGAACCGCCTGCAGGCAGCTGAGGCAGAGGCAGTGCAGAGGCAAACCAGCGGTGCTGAGCAGGACTATGAGGAGGTTATCCAACTGCTTGAGGCTGAGATAAGAGATCTGAAGAACCAGCTGGCTGGGAAGAGGCAGGCACATGGAGCAGATGGCACCAAGGTGAGGCAAAAACAGCTAGCTAAAATCTCAGGTTTTCCATCTTTTTCCTTTTAGAATTAAGAGTCATAGAGCCTCATGCAAGAACCGTTCATARGAGTYGATTTGTTCTTAAGTTGTGCGTACGAGTGATTTAGGAGAACTTGTGGATTCACCAATTTTCTTGTATTGTAAGATTTCCTTCAGATATAAACAAAATTCAGGAGTGGAACAGACCTGTCGTATATTTTACGAGCAGCCAGTCTGCTGTTATCGATGGATTTTCTTCAATGATAACTTTATATTTCATTAGTTTGAAGATATTTCGAGTTGAAAATAAATCACACTCCATAATTATGTTGACAATAGGCTGTTCTGTTTGAACTGAAATTATAATTTTAAATGTAATAATGTAGACTAACAACATAAATTGGGCAAATTAAATTAAATTGGCTATTAATGCTGCTGTGTAACACTACAATATTAATATGAAGATTTCAAACTATAAACCAACATAAATTATGCATTAATTGAAATTTAAAGGGGCTATATCATGTAAAATCAACTTTTTTGAGTTTTACATCATATTTTATATCATGAGTCCAGTTTCATGGCCTCAGGATTCCTCCACTGCTATTTGCAGATGAGGCAGTCCTGTTGGTGTTATTGTGTTGTGATTGTCAGCGCTCACTGGAGTGGTTCACAGTCAAGTGTGAAGTGACTGGGATGAGGATCTGCATCTCCAAATCTGAGTCCATGGTCCTTGATGGCAAAAGGATGMGTTGCTCTTTCCAGGTTGGGGGTGAGGTTCTGCTTCAAGTGGAYGAGTTCCAAGTGTTTTTGGATTTTGGTTACAAGTGAGGGGAAAATGTAGTTTGGGATTAATAGACGYACCAGTGCAGCTTCTACAGTACAGTATTGCAGACTTTATACCGGTCTGTAGTGATAAAGGGAAAGCTAAGCTGTAAGGCAAAGCTGTCTGGTTACTAATCATTCTACATTCCTACCCTCACCTATAGTCACAAACTTAGATAGTGACCAAATGAATGAGATCATGGACACAGGCAGTCGAAATGAGTATTCTCTGCAGTGTAGCTGGAGTCTCCCTTAACGAAAGGGTGTGAGTTCAGTTATCTAGAAGAGACTCTGAGTTGAACCACTGATCCTCCACATTGAGAGGAGTTAGATGAGGTGATTCAGGTATCTGTAAGAATGCTCCCTGGACGCCTCCCTAGGGAGGTGCTTCAGTTATGTCCAACTGGGAGGAGACCCCTGGGAAGACCCAGGACACATTGGAGATACTATGTCTCTCAGCTGTCTGGGAACACCTTGGAATTCTCCCAGAAGAGCTGGAGAAGGTGGTTAGGGAAAGAGAGGTCTGGGCATCCCTGTTCAAGCTGCTGCCCTGGGACTCTGACTGGAACAAGTGATGGATGGATGGATGGATGGATGGATGGATGGATGGATGGATGGATGGATGGATGGATGGATGGATGGATGGATGGATGGAT